CATCTGTTGTGGTTTGAAATGCGCTCATCAGTTCGGATTCTTTCTAACCCCGAAATATAAAAATAGCTGCAGTTTCGCTTTTCGTGTTAATTTAATTGGTTTCTGTGGTCAGTTCTAAGTGTCAGAAACACCTCAGCTCAAATCTACTGTTTCCAATAACTTCAGCACTTAGGAACTTTTCACAGCCTCTCTCTAATGTCTGACTAAACAGCTCTTGTAGCTAGTCAATGGATGATGTACAGTCAAGAGTGGGAATGTCGCTGTATCAGACACACCCACAATGAGCATTTTGTTCCTTCGGCGCAGGTCCAATTGGTTACATTTCAGGTAGCCCATATTATTTGAGAACAGGGCAACTCTGCACTCAGAGACTGGTATACAGGCTTGATACCAATTACTAATCCTTTTTGACCTTTTAAGAGCTGAAAGCAAATCTACAGGTATGGCCCAAAGTTGAAAACTGAAATCAATGACCCCGTGGTTAAGAACTTATCCACAACCCAAACAAAACCGTGTCCACAAGCCAGGCCAAAAGCCAGAAGAGAGACTTTTTCTCCAGGATCAGGATTGGCTAGGGCTAAGCAATCCTAGGTTTTCCTGGAAAATCCCAAACTTGTGGCACACTTAAGCCCAACCCCCCTACAACAATTCAAAATGGCGCCCGTTATCATGAACAGAACCCTATGTAGTGTTCCAGTCAAGTCACCAGTCGGACTGAAAATGAGTTCTTTTAAGAAGCAATGACCTCAGTCTGTAAGACAGTCAAGCCACGCTGTAGAGAAGTAGTAGAGTAGTTTATTGCCATATGTACAAGTACATTGGAATTCTTATACGTGCTGATCTCTCGGGACACACACAGTAACACAAACAAAACCACACAATATTGACAGTACATTACAAACACAATAAATAATAATAAAAACAGGAACCATAAATATGTTGTGGGACAATAAATCTGTAGCAGTGAGAAAAACACATGGTAGACCATGCAAAACGTGCAGAGTGCGGATGTGAACTGTTACGAGAGCCAGATTGGTAGAGAAGCGTTCAGTTAGACCCTATGCGTGACGGTTTTTCCGGAGAAGACAGGAGACGGACTTCGGGGAAAGACACAAGAGGGTTATTTGTGAGGACAGTGAGTGGTGACAGTTCGTGATCCGGTTCACAGGGGAACAACCAGAGGCAACCGAGTCCAGGCAGATCCCAGGTGGGTAGTCAGGGAACAGTCCGTAATCCAGAACCAGGTAATCCATCCGAGACGAGGACATGATACAATCCCTGGAAGGGGGAAAACCAGACGAGGAAAACACAGACAAGGAACAGGAATGGGACTGGAATCACCGGGTCCTGGGCTCAGAGGTCAGGACATCTGGGGAGAAGGCCTATGCCCTCAGGCTCCTCCATGGCCTGGTGGTAGGCGGGTCTTCAGACTCTGTCTTCCAAAGCTGGGCCCAGGACACCCGGGGCTCAGAGTTTATATAGACGAATACAGAGAAGACACACCAGGAAATAATTCAATCTAGAACTAGCCGATTGGAGCGCTCTCTAGAGGAGGGATGTCAACCAT